ATATATAATAGCTTGTTTTTACATATTTTTGTGCATTTTTCCATCTCATTTGCAATCCCTTTGGGCTTCCCATCACCAACATCACCAAATCACCCATGTGCCATCACCATAGTCCGTGCATCTCCCTCCCCCCACTGTCTTTGACCCCATTCCCCACCCCACCCCCATAAAATGTTTCTGGTATATAGCTGTTCATCATTATCATTATTTTCTCACCTGTTCTGTTATATTCCTGCTATGAGAAAAACCATCTGGTATTTCTCCTTTTCTTTCTGGCTTATTTCACTAAGCATGATCTTTTCCAATTGATGGTCCCTATTTTAAGTAACTGTCGTGTTTGCTTTTCTTTTCAGAGACATTTCACAGTATTTGCATTCAACTTTCCATCCTTGGATGCACTGAGCACCATCTATGGCCAGGTCCTTAGTTTCTATTTCCAACAGCAAGCATTTAATCCGGCCGTTCTCAAGAGTGGTCCCACTTTGATTCAGGCAACAATAACGTTCCACCAGATGATGGCACAGAACTTCTTACCCACAGCTATTAAATTCCACTACCTCTTTAATCTGAGAGACCTAACAAACGTCTTCCAGGTATCGTGATGGCTCTTTGTCAGGCATCTTGAGTGGAGGAATGATGAGAGTAACAATGTGGCATCCATTTACAGACCTTAGTTCAGAACTATGCTGCTACTTAATATACTTTCATTTCATGCTATACAACTTATGTATGAAGTAAGTTTGGCAAGTTGATTTTTCCTATTTTATCAGTGACAGTATTGGTTCCTCTAAGTTGTGTAACAACAGGTGCAAGTCTAGATGGACAAATTCCCTGTTTACTTTATTCAGTATAAATACTTAAGTGCTTATTTTTGCAACAAGAGAGGTGTAATTTGTAATTTTTTCACAAAGTACTTATGTAATTTTTAAATAAAAATCAAGAGAAATTATAATTTCTTAAATATCTGGATTATTTTGGCTTGACGCTTACTCTGTTTACATAGTAAAATGACAATGACAATGTTTATGTATTTGAGTTAGAAATAAACTCCAGAGAGAGAACTTCAAAGGATTTTTTAAATATCCAACAGATGCTACCTGTCCTATAGGTAAAAGTACTTTAAAGGGTTATGTATGTCTTAGTGTTTTTTTTGTGCTAAGGTTTTCTACTGGTTAAATATGGAAACTTCATGGGATTTCATATTTGGTCATTTTCTTTTCTGGATAGTTTTATAAGCATCTTTTCTATATCATTCCTCAATCACATCAAAACTGTACTACCATTCTAGATGCAACTTCCTAATAATATAGACTATTCCTTGTCATCTCTAAGTCTCTAGCATCTGTCTGAAAGATCATGCTCTAAAGGTTAGTTTAAAAATGCATTTTAAGAAGAAGAGAAAAAGACAGTTGTGGGTGACTTCTCATGAGAAGCCTTCTGTGTCACCATCCATTCTAGGGGTCAGCTGCATCTGAACCCCAAAGCATTGTTTAGCCTGTCATAGCACTCAAGGTGTTCTTAAGTCCAAAACAAGCTGACTACCCATAAGGAGAGATTCTTTATGAATATAAGATCCTGAAGAGCATTGTGGTAAGTCTTTTGGAGCTGGTATTCTGTCTCCCCATGAGTAAGCATTCAGGCAACTTCCTTTGTACCTCTTAGTCATCTCTCGGACAAAGTGTTAGACTAAGTGATATGAAAGGATTTGAGAATTAAACAAAACAAAACAAAACAAAAAACCCACTATGAGCCTGTAACTTCCTGCTACCTCTTTGGTGTTTGTGATTGTAAACTCAATCTGTTGGTAAACATAATAGGCACTGATCCCTGGATATTTCCCTCACACAACACATTGCTAAATTCAGTGTACTGTTTAAGAAAATGTTCAAAGAAAATGTCTAGCAATGTCATCAGCTTCTGATTTTTTCAATTTTTTTTTTCTATCCTTCCTTTGTAGGGGATCTTATTTGCTTCTCCTGAGTGTTTAAAGAGTCAAGATGACCTAATACGCCTCTGGCTTCATGAATCTTCTCGTGTTTATGGAGACAAACTGATAGATACAAAGGATTGTGATTTGTTTCAGAAAAAATTGCTGGAAACTGCTTATAAATGTTTCAATGTAAGTTTATGAATGTCAGAGGCCATGGCTTTGTCAACAGTTGGTGTTGGGACACAAGTTAGGTGAGGAGGTAAGGGAACTGTGCCAGTGCTTAGCTTCTGAGACAGGTGTTGATTCCAGCATGGGCCTGTACTTGGGAATGTTCCACCTACCCCGCTCACAGATTCCCCTGCAAGCTTCTGCCTGCTAGGCCCCCAGGGGAATCATCTGGACAACTGGCATGACTGTATTTTTCTCTTCTCCTCCTGCAGGGTGTTGAGAGCCATGTGCTCCTCCAGCAGCCCCTTATTTATTGCCACTTTGCTAATGGAGGAGAAGATCAATGTTATATGCCAATGAAGGACTGGGAGGTGCTGAAGAGGATTCTTACAGAGACATTAGACAACTATAATGAGCTAAATGCTACCATGCACCTAGTGTTGTTTGAAGATGCCATGCAACATGTGTGAGTCAGCTCATCATGATGCTTTTGCACAAGATGGAAATGACTAGGTCTTCACAGTTTTTGTTCTGAAGACCTTAGCACTCTGTGGGCTCAATTCTCATGGATCATTTGCTGTACAGTATAGAACCACAGGTGGTTCCAGTAACTATTATTGCTTGTCACAATCTTCATAATGTCTTGCCTAGTATACTACTTTCTAGAAGCTCCATCACAACTATAATTTTAGATTAATTCACTGTGCCCTGTTAGTTACAAATATCCAGTAAGAGGAAGACAGATGACCTGTTCAAAGTCATAAAGTCTGTGAGTGAGAGAGACAGGATGGACCAAGACTGATTTAATCACTATTAAGCACTACTAAGCATGCTTTATTGGGTACCCCTTAGTACTAAACAAGAACATTGCTAACCTATGCAGTACTTTTGTGAAAATATGAAAAAAAGGGGGGGGATGGAACATTTTCCTGGTAGTAAGTGAGAAAAAGGCTCTTGTCCTGGTGCAGAACATGGCACACAAGCCTCTCACTCGGCTCTTTTGACCTTTGTGCAATGTGCTGACTGTGCAACCTCTGTCATGTCCCGGTCATCAATTTTCTCAGTGCTGGGGGTACAGCAGCAAACAAGAAAGCCCAGTCCCTTTTCTAGCTGAGCTTTCATTAATGCAGATGGACATTTATAAGGACATAAACAAATAGGAAAACTGATCAGAAAGTGGTGTCATGTTGAGAAATTCAGTAGGTTGGTTCTGAGAAATGAAAAAAGTGGATTCCCAACGAGGTACTGGGTCTCTATATGAGGAGGTAATATTTAAGGTGAGAGCTAAATGATGAGTAGAAACAAAGTATAGAAAGATCTGGAGAACAGTCTAGGCTGAGAGCAGAGTTTGTGTTCCTGAATGTTCAAAAAGACTCGAGAGTCAGTCTGACTGCCTGAGTGGGGAGAATAACCTGTAACAAAGAAAAGCAGGAACAGACCTTACCTAGACAGAGTGTTTTCTTACAATCAGGATAAAGAGTTACAGTTTGAGTCCAAGTGAAATGAGATGTCATTTGGGCAGATTTTAGCATGGGAATGAACTTATTTGAATAGTCTAAATAACTTACCATTGCAATTGCTACGTGGGGAGTTGATGTTCCTTTATGTCCAACTCTGCTTCCTGTTCACTTCCTTTCTCACTGGCTATATTTGCTAGAGAAGCTGTAATGAAATACCACAAACAGGGTAGACTAGAAAAATAGGTGCTTATCATCTTATAGTTCTGAGGCGAGCAGAATGGAATGAATGTCTCCTGGGGCCCTGCTCCCTCTGAGGTGCTAGCAAGACACTGGTGTCCCCCCTAACTTCTGCTACTTTCCTGCCACACGACGGTACAATGATGCCGATACATGATGTTCTGTCTCTGGTGTCTGTGTACAGTGTCCCCTTTTTATAGTGACAGCAGATACATTGGATAAGGAGCTCACTCTGCCCCAATATGATATCTTAAACCAGTATTTCTACAATGACCCTATTTCCAAGATTGGTAGCACTCTGTGGTACTGGGGTTTGGCACTTCAACATAAGAATCTGAATTGTAGGTGAAATATTATCTCTGTGAATATACTGGCCTTTCTAGTAGGTGATATTTAGGTAAAGATTAAAATAACAAAATCATGCTTAAAAATAAGTCAAAGATGTTTGCAAGGAAGGAAATTCAAAATGAGGAAAATACAAAGAATTCAATGTTTAGAAGAACTGCTTTTGGAAATGTTTAACATGTCCAAGAAAAACTTTACTGGTTGCCCATTATCAGTTATTAAAAGCATGCGAAGTATTGATCATTTTCTTGATCCCTTTGAAGTTGCCATATTCTCCTTACATGAAGTTTTAGAATCTGATCATTGGTGTTCAGTGAATATGTTAACACTGTTTCTGGTTTTAGTATAAACTGGGTGTGAAGGTCCTGGCTCAGGTGAAAGAATCAGGTGAAATCAGCCTCCTGGTGATCCTGAGGCAAAGGGTCTTCCCCTACTATCGTCAAGGTAGAATTCAAAGTGGCCTCAAAGGAAAGGCTGTTTCTGTGGTCAGGGATGATGTGCTAGATGCTGATTTGCTCAGCACTAGAGAGGATTTAAGAGCATGTGTTTGAATATTGTAGACGGACTATCCCACTTAGAGAATCTTGCATGGTAAAACCTCACAGCACGCATTAACAAGAAATGAAAATTCTGCTTTGTAACTTAGGCTTTCACTTGTGTTGGGTTAATTTTATGACTTTCCCATGGTGGTTTTGTTTTGTGGTCATATAAAGTAAAAATTTTGTGTAAGACTAAGCTTGTAAAAATGACCTGTCTGCAGTTACTGAAGATTTTCAGGAAATGCTCGACACACTGGTTCTGGTATAATTTGCCTCCCAGTTTCATTAAAAAACAAAAATCTCTAAATGGATTTTATAAAAATCCTCTTATGGATTATTCTGGGCCAGATGTTTCAATTCATTTTAGAAAGGTAACCTAAAGCAAACACGATGGTGTCCAGGTGTTTGCATTTGGATATTGACACGCTCATTTTTTTTGTTTCATTTTACTTATTACTTAAAACATAATTATGACATCTTTGTTCAGCCAAACTCTCCTTTGGATCATGATATACAAGCTTATTCCTAACTATAAAGTGTAGCAGTAATAGTAATAGTTCAAGCATTCAGAATCTCTTGGATAATATAAAGGGTTCTTTGACCTTGCTGAAAATTTCACTTTGGTTCTGAATGGTTTCAGTAAACTTGCTAAAGGTAAAGAGAAAGCTTCAGTGGAAAGGAAGCAAGGGCCATATAAAGAGGCAGATGTTTAATCTGCGTGCGGAAAATCACAGATGAGATGTTTGTTGATCTAAATCAACCCATTCTTAACAAATTCCACCAGCCAGGTTTTCTGACTCAGTGAAATTCTTCCTTTGATTTTGTAGTGGAAACTGGGATCTTTCTTGCTCTCAGAAATGATTGAAGCTTGGACAACAGCCATGTATATGTTTTCTTTCTTGTGTTTTGGTGGAGGGCAGTGCAGCCGTCAGAGCTCCAAGATGTTAGTAGCATGGGACAGTGTTCCAGGCAAGCAGTGTGTGGGCAGATGCAGGCAGCGTCTTTGATGGGCAAACAGATGAACGAAGCCTAAAGGTTCAAAATAACAATTGGAATTGAGTGTCTAAATATTTATGTAAGAAGCGAAGCCAGCACATCTCAGTGCTTTCTTTTCCAGGTGTCGCATCAGCCGGATCCTCAGGACCCCTCAGCGCCAGGCGCTCCTGGTGGGGGTGGGCGGCAGTGGGAAGCAGAGCCTGTCCCGGCTGGCTGCTTACATGTGCGGCCTTGAGGTCTCTCAGGTCACCCTCACTGAAGGTTTTGGCATCCAAGAATTTCAGGTGTGTAAAGGTGACAGGGAGTCCTTGCCTCCCATCTGTCTGCCAAATCTCTGTGAACTTGCACGCTCTTCTGACTCTCAGATTTGATTAGGGCCTCCCTGGCAGTGCCAAGGAGATAGGGAGAGGGAAGGCGGGTGAAGTGCTTTAGAGAAGTTAATTGTCTTTACCTGTTTATCCTTTGTGATCAAATTAGTAAATTTCTATAACATTTTTGTAGGCTTTTAAGTCTACAGATCTGGCTCAGGAAATACTTTGCTATTGAAAAATGCTTTTGCCTTTGCACTCACTAAATCTGATATATAGTGATATTTAGCTCATGTCGGATGGAGAAAAAAAAAAAGATACTGCCTTTACAGGTGCAAATAGATTTCTTCTGCTTTGGATGAGAATATGAAAATAAAATGTAATGAGAACACATTCAAGAATTTCATGTGTTTTTAAATGTTTTGCTTTTTACCACAATAATACTTACAAAATAGTACTTGGAGTTTGTGGCAAGTGCTATTTTAAACCAAGCCACACATTTTCAATATGAATAAATAAAACAAAATAACCCAAGCAAAACCATTTTCAGGGGGAAACTGTGTTGCTTGAGTGAGGCACTTAGAACTCGGACAAGGGGGCTCAGCTTCAGCGGCCTGTGTCCACCCCTGTGCTCCACTAAACCACAAACATGACTCTCATCGTTATGTGCCAGAAATGGAGGTGACATCATACCGTTTGCCTCTATAATGGGGTCACTGACAGGAAAGAATACGTGAACAGCGGAATAGTACCAAACGCTGCTCTTCCATTCAGTTCCTCAGTTCTCTCCAGCACTCACACACATGCCTCTACTGTGGTCACAGCAGCATTTTAACGAAACATGAATGATGGGCTTCTCTCCTTACAGGTAGATCTTGCCAATTTGTACATCAGAACTGGAGCCAAGAACATGCCCACTGTGTTCCTGCTGACAGATGCCCAGGTTCTAGATGAGAGCTTTCTCGTGCTGATTAATGACTTGCTGGCATCAGGTGATTAAACCAACACATTTCTTGAAAGATCTTCCCCAGTGACAAATTATCTGTAGTTTCAGTGAACTTTAAAGAGAGATAATTTGTCTTTGAGACGTTTGCTGGCGCAGTCTTTGGGGAGAAACCTATAAACCTAACTCATTTGAGGTGTATTGCTTTCTTAGTCTGCTTCCGGGTGGGCGGTATCTTGGAGGGGCCTTCAGTGAATCACTTATTCTGCATGAACGATTTCAGACTGTGTGTTCATCATAGTTCTTCCTCAGCGTGTAGTATATCCTGTAAATGAAAACAAAAAATTACATTTTTATTTCAAACTGTATCTTTGAAGCCGAAGTAGGTTTATAAAGCACTTCCAGCTTTAAAAAAGCATCTGTAAATATGGGTGGAGCAGTAAAATTAGGACTGATAATAACTGTACTGTTAGCTTTGGAGATTACTGACCGGGGGAATAATCATTTTTCCCTAGCACTGACAAAATAAATGTAGGAGTAGTATGTTATGATGAGTGGTAACTTAATTGATAGTGCTTTTACCCCTAAACTGGCAGAAAATGATTTTGAAGTTTCCTTTTAATTCAAAAGTATGGTCATATTTGAGAAATATGTTTAGAGTAATTTCACTTGTCAAATTTAAGTCCTTTCTTATTCAATTTTAAATGTTCAAATTATCTTTCTTTACCTCAAAACTAATAAAAGAAACTAGTCTCCAAATTACCTTAAAATTCTTATAATCAAAAGTATATCTGGGCCCTCCCTGGTGGCGCAGCGGGTTAAAGCACAGCACTGAGAATCTAAAGCCGCTTCCGCATGAGTTCGATTCCCGCCTGCCCCGGAGGTGACCACATGGTGTGGCAGACCTCTCCTGACCCGCCCGCTGCTCCCCTCAGCAGTGTACTTCGTCGATCTGCCTGTTCTGCTCCCCACTCTGTCTCTGGTGAAGCCTCTCGCTGCCCCTGAGCCTCTGGCCTGTACCCCAGTTCTGTACGCACAAATAAATAAATCTTTAAAAAAAAAAAAAAGTATATCTGAATCCATGAAGGATACTACTATCTTTTCCTGGCTAAATTAAAGATTTCTTAACACACTTTAATTCATTGTACATATGTTGGGCACAATTTCTGTGTTCTCTGGGATGATATGGGGAAGTATGTATAAAGCTGTAACAAAAAAAATTAGTATTGTGGAATTTAGTAGAAATTTTACTTGTAATTCTCTAAAAAGAAGAAATAATTTAAAATTTAAGTTGTGATGGTCTCTCAGTAACTTTCCTAATTATTTTGGTGACAGGTGAAATCCCAGATTTGTTCAGTGATGAAGATGTGGACAAGATAATTTCTGGGATTCGAAATGAAGTTCGTAGTCTGGGCATGGTGGACTCGAGAGAAAACTGTTGGAAATTCTTTCTGGCCAGGGTACAACTGCAGCTTAAAGTAAGAAATGCTAGTTTTACTTACATTATTTAAAGCCTGCTGTTGAAACCAAGATAAGGCTCTAACCATGATTATGATTCATATTAGTTCAAATTTCAGTCATGCATTTTGTAAAGACATTTGTTTATTTTGTTTACAAGCCCATGTCTGGAGTGTGTCTTCCTAAAGTGTGTGATGCTAACTCCCTCTGCCTGAAGCATGGTGCTGAAGCACATTGTATGAGAGCTGCATTGAACTAGGTCTCTGTCCAGACCTAGTTCTGGAGAGAGAGAGAGCTGGACTGTACAGTGGATGTTTGGAGAAACCCAAGATGGTTGTAACACAGAGGTCTGGAACATAGAGTTCTTATTGGAAGAATGAGGTGGATCAGGCAGGGAAAGTATGTTGTGATGAGATAAGGCGTTTGTAAATCATTAAGAAAGGAGTGGGAGAATTTTGAATCAAGGAAGCAACTATTTTATCAGAACTTTGGGACAAATAATGGAGGTGTGTTACTCTGGTGGTCTGGGTGTAACCGCAAGGTCTTCCCCACAGGCCGGCTACTTTTTGCTTTAGTATAAAGGTGGGAGTGTAATGGAACCAAGTAACAGCAACAGTAAAGGTCAAACATTTTTTTTTTTTAAATAAGAAACACCCACAAACTCATAGCAAGAAGAGATTTTAAATAAACTTTGTTACTGGAAATTCATGCTTTCTTGCGTAGAAATGGTAGTGACCTACAAAAGCTACTTCTTAACTACTGTTTGTAATATTCCAAGCCTGTTCAGCTAGTAACAGGCCTGGGACTGCTGCAGAACCCGTGTACACAGGACGGGGATGAGGCACTAGCTTCTGTCTGGTACAAGTCTACTTTGTCCTATTTCAAGTTCATTTTATTGAGAAATTCTGAGTCAGTTTAGGAGATTATTTGCCTATTTTCTCACCAAAATTCTGACTAAGGATATGTTTGTTAGCTGATAACAAAGCTGGGGAGTTCGCCCTGTTCCATAGTGGTATATTTGGATTATATTTTCTTTATGAAGTGGGTAAATTTGTAAAGCAGTGGAATTTCAGAGAGTAATGCTATGAATGCTGGCTGTCAGTCGGTTCCTCAGAGCATCAGAATCAGCATCCCTTAGAAACTTACTAAAAAGGCAAGATTTCTGGTTCCATCCTAGAATCTTGAATCATAAACTCCAAATTCTGGGTGGAGTGCAGCAAACAGTCCTAACAAATTCCCAGGTGGGAGGAATGCTGAAATTTGAGAACCATTATTAGAAATAATGCCAGAATGAGCATTCTTTGTGTGCTATTACTAATTTTTAATTTTAGATCTTTCAACCTTCTCTCAGCAATGTCTTGTTTTTGAGTAGTTGGTTTTCTTGTGAAGGAGAGCAAAGTCAGGAATTACCTATGTTGCCATCCTGGTGATACCATACTCCAAAAGACTCAAGAATTGTATTTATACTAAGCAGATAGTCCTGTATATTTTTCCTATTCTGTCATTTCTTTTATATGTACATATGGCACTTGTTTATAACTTCAAAAGCTTCAAAAAGCTTTTATATTAGTTTCCATTAGTGGATTTGGATTTCTTAAAAATTTGGGAAAATGTTTCTCTCCAGAATTATAAAGTTCACAAACAGCAGGTGGAACTCAGCTGCTCATTGGAAAGAGATCAGAGACTTCTGACAAGAGTATCACTGAGTCCAGACTAGCTCAGTAACGCCCCAGGCTTTCTGGCCTTTCTCATTGCCAGGGTTTCTCCTGATGCTTCCTGCCTCATGGTTACAAGATGTATGCAGTAGGACCTATATTCAGGCAGGAGGAAGAAGATTTGGGGGCTCTTTGTATCAAGAAACCAAAGCTTCCTCCCCACCCCCCAAATCTTAAGCTAATGTCTTACCAAGCATAAGTTTGTCAAAGACAACTTCTACTTACCAGGGAACTCAGGGAAGTAAACATTTAATTTTGTCATATGACCTTTATGAATAAAATCAGAAAAGGACTTTGGAGTAGTGGCTTATCGATCATCCCACGCCTTTCATACCTTGTGTTTATAACTTTACTACATCTGAAATACATTTATTAAATGTAGTAAGGAGTGAGCTGAGGGATTACAGTTTCCTTTTTTCAAAAATAGAACTTTTTTAATCTTAATATCATGCATTTTTCCTCACTGATTTAAATTACCACTTTTTATTCTGTGTCATGTAACATATTAATTGGGTCTGTTTCCCAAAACTCCAATTCTCTTTTCTTCATAAGTCTCTACTGCTGATCCCAGCCAAGTACTGTATAAATTATCAAAGTTCTTGTGTGCATTTTAATACCCAGTGTCTAATTGCTTTTTCTTGTCTAGTTTTCCTTTGTTTTCTTGTATGTTTATGCTTCTCTATAAACATCAGAGTCATTTTGGCAAATTCTGAACACATTCATTTTAATTTTTATTGAAACCATACTAAATGCTTACATTAGAGAGAATTTAATTTTTATGACAGAAAATGTCCTATAGAGGGGTAGCTCATAAAGCTTTCTGCTGTTATACTTTTGGCATATAGAACAATTAATGATTTTCAGTTTTATAAAAAGCTACTTTTACTACATTTCTGATTGTATGCTTGTTGATTGTATGGTATGGTTGATACCATGTAACCTGTAGGTAATATTTTTCTTGCCTAGTAACCTGTTTATCTGCTTTCTCATCTTATGGTAAATAGTACGCCATAACATTACATTGTTAGGGTAATGTGGGGATTTTGTAGTGATTAGCTATTATATTACTTTTGATCAGGATCTGTTATAAAAGAAATGTCCACTTTCCTCTTTTCAAGACATATCTTGCCCTCGAATTCCTGGAAATGTTTTTTTTTTTTTTTTGTAAAGAATACTGGATTGCTCTGTTCATTTCAAATATCATGATATTCACCAGTATGTACTAAAGACTGAAGTTTTGATGAGCTGGTAGGTCTTTTTTGTAATTGTTTCTAACTGGGCAACCTGGGAAGCTAAATGTGTTACGTGGGTTGATGAGCACACCTGGCAGGTCAAGCTAAATGATGTGAAGTTGCCACCCCATTACCCATGCTCACCACCCAAAGCCAGTTCCCATTTGGAATGCAGGGACAGTGAGAACCTGTTGGCATGCAAAATGTGACCTCTGAATCCCACAGAGCAGTTCCCATTAATGATCAGATGTGTGTCCTTGGATTGCCTGAAATAAGCCAATGAATAAATGCCAGATGCCTTCCCTCCCTCACATTTGGATATCTGCATCTTTTCCTGTGTAGTTCACATCTTAAAATTGGAGTTGCATGTTCTTTCACATTCTCCCCTTTTGACTTTAACACCCAAACTTTGTTTTCTTGTCTTCTACCCTGGTCTTCTAATGCCACAGCACAAAGAACAATTGATATGTATGTAGCAGCTTCTGACTCATTCCCAAGATTATAGCTATCTGTCATTGGCTGTCTTGTCTTTCTCCTAGATACCTAGTCAGGTATATAGGAGGAGAGGGAGAGCGAGATTGATTTCTGATAATATAAGGAATACATGTTCATTATAGAGAAATTAAACTCAAAGAACCATATGAAGAAAATTAAAACTAATTATATAGCCTAGAAATAGCTGCTACTGATAACATACGGATGTTTCCTTCTAGTTTTTCATATGTATATAAATGCATACAAGGTACATATTCAGAACTTACTGGGTTTTATTTTTATATTTAATTTTTTTTTATTAAAAAAGTTTATTTTTACATCATTTTTCACATTTTTTTTTCATCTCAATTGTAATCCCCACGGGTTTCCCATCACC